TAAACATGGAGATGAAGCACCTAACAGGAGTGAGGGGTATGCTAGGCTGGTCCATGCAATGTCAACATGCTGGAGCATACCCCCCCAGATCATTGGTGGTAGAGCACATCGAGAAGATACATGGAAATACACAAAGTTTATCCTGTCCGAAGATCAGAAGTGATATAATATCCATCGAGGCCCTTCTTTAAATTGCTCTGCTTAGGTGTTAATACAGGATTGCTCTTTCCAGGTAGCGATTGCGTTGGTGAGCCCAGCTAACATGAATTGAGATACGAAGAACCTGAAAGAGCAGAGGAGGACAGTCTGCTAGAGCCAGAGCGAGCAGAAGATCTAGGAGAGAGGAGATTTGGCCAAGAAAACTGAGGAACAGGTTAAGTTTAGAGAGAAATATAAATGTTACCAGTCTCAAGTTAGCAGCAAACACAGCCCTCAGAAACACGCAGGATTTCAGTAGTTTAAGATGGAAGGGACTCAGATGGCTCATTCACACTTTGAGGAAGGATTCCTTCAGCTCTTTACATACTTTTTAATAATTAACTTACTTTAGGACTGATGACTAGAGCCATCGAAGAACAGATTTGCTATTTTACCTCCACTTTAGATACTAAGACCAAAATGTAGGTCTTCAAAACAACCAACTCAGCTGCTTCTAAGCCTTGAAACCCCTTAAAAGACCATGGTCCTGAGGGACCTACCTTCTCGGTTTCTGTTTCTGGCCATGCCCAGAAGTGCCCAAATGTGCAATTCAACGTCTAGCACCCAGCTAAGCCACCCTCCACCACTGAACCGGAGTCAACCTGCAAATCAAGCACTCTGATGCCATTGCTTAGTGGGGCACCATGGATCACTGGTCTTGTACTTTCCCTGCCTTCCCCAACACACCAAGTCAGGTGTCTAAACCCTCCTCTGTCAGGTCATCCCAGGTCATCCATCTCTTGTCCTTCGCTGTGCGGTTTGAGTCATCCTCTTCACATCACACTGACCATGGGGTAATTCCAGCAAGGGCAACTGAACCACATCAGGAAGGGTTTGAGTTCCTGGTGTCTCACACTCATTGGTGGCTTGGTATGTTGAAATGCATGCCGAGAACAAATGCAGGAGACTCCATGGTCCTGTCACCTTCCCCAGGCACTTGGTTTCTTCCTGATGGTAGATTCTGATGGAGAAAGGACGAAAAGCTAAAAGAAGGAAAAGTTACAAAAGTTAGAGCACCAAGGGGAAGGAGAGGCATGTTTTCAACATGATTACAATTTTCTTTTGCTGGAGTGTTGTGAGAATAAACCAAAGGATCCCTTTGGATGCCTTGGCACCTACAGTGGTTGAGTTTGCAGTACCACAATGTTAGCACAATAGAGAAGGACCTTTATACTGACATTGTAAAGGCAACAGGACTCTTCCTGAGCAGCCAAACCTCTAACTTCCTCAATGTTTTTCATTTCTGGGCATATTGAAACTGGTCTATAAGAGTCAATATTGCCAAACTAGACAGACTGATGTGATTGAAAAGACCGCCAGTACATAAAACTGTCAGTCATCAGCACAAGGAGGTATCCATGAGTGAAATTTTGAAATTGTACTCTTTTGGATAACTGTCGTTTGCTCTTAGAAATTACATTTAAAATTAACGTTTGCTGTAGAACTTATAAATATTTGTTCAGGCTAGCATGAAATATCCCCAGGATAATTTTTGCATGTACACATCAGATTTTCATTTCACAGCAGAGAAGACTGAAAGTAAGTCTCTTCATTTCACAGACAATGTAGTCTTCATGGCTGTGAGACAGGTCATACTCCTTGGTGAGACATGCCTGCCATTTTAAGGCTTTGGGGATCTAGGCTGATACAACCGAAGACACAACTGAAACCTGCCAGTATTTTTCTACTTACTTTTTCTACTTATTTCAGTAGGAGAAACTTGGAGCCAAGAGTCACTATGAGTCATGTGTGAACAGGGCTAGAGACAATAAGGACCTTCTACTCACAGGATCTCAAAGTCGAAGCAACTGCAGACACACTCAAAACACAGTCTCTTCCCAAAAGGTAGGCCAACATGAATTCCTTATGATGATGGGACAAACAGTCCATTATGTTCAGAGCAGACAAAGAGAGCAATGGATGGGAGAAATTAAAAGGTGTGGGAGGACAGGCAACCCAAGAAACTTCATCGGATACCTGTCAGAGACTATAAAGAGCTTTCCCTTGACTTTAGTGTGCTTGGGATGAAATCTTTACCAACGTGCTGTTCATCTTTCAAAACCTCTCTGTGGCCACATCAATATGATGTTGGGCAGTTACTGGGGTGTGGGTGGGTGCTTTAGCATCTCCGCTGCTTTTGGAATGCAGCCCTTCCTGAGGCAACACTGAGATCTCTGCCCAACGCACAACAGCAAATAAAGTCTCTGGAGTTGGGGTCTTAGGTCACTTTTCCCCACTTGGTTGTCTGCAGAGGAAGCACTTTGTAGCTTGTTATTGGCTTGATTTATAAATCCTAACATCAAGAAATAGATAAAGAACACTTTGTATTGTTCCCCAATGTCTGACGGACAGAAACATCCCAGCCACCAAGACCTTGATGATGGTCTCCAACCAATCATTCAATTCAGATTTCAAAAGCTTTCCCCAATTAGATTTCTGCAGTATTGGGGATTTTTGTCCTCTCTATGGGATGTCAGTCACCTGTAGTATCACCTGAGATATCTCACTTCAGTCTCTCCTTTTGCTGCCTCTTTAACAGTTTGACATTTTAATGACAGAAATTCTCTCGCTCAGTACTTTTAAAGCTTATTCTGTTTGTGCAGCTCCAAAACATCCACTGATAGAGGTACAAACCTGTGCAGCAATTTGAGGTCTGCTTTTGCTAGATAGACTTACAGGCTCTTTAGTGGCAATTCACATACTCCATGGCTTATTTTAACCGGTAAGATAAAAGTGCCTGTGACCATTCCTGGAACCAGAGAGACAGGGACACAGGATTACCTTCATCCATCCTGCTAAATTCACTTAACCTCCAGAAGAGGTGGGTCACATCTTAAGGCTCTGTTTGGAATAGTTCCTGTTCCACACTAACCTCAAATTGTGACTAAAATTTCTTCAGAGCTGTGCAAGTTGGCCAGGTCAGGCCCATGCTTCATAGCTAAAAACATGGACAATAGAGTTCAAGATCTGGGGAAGATTCCCAGGTAGTGTTTAATTTAGTGGAACAGATTAAATCCATGTGTCTCCAAATGCTCATTTGAAAATCATTGCTTTCTAAAACCCAAGTGATTGCATTCAATAAAACATAGCTTGGTGCCAGGTGAGAGATTTGTCAGGATAAGACTACACCTAATATACCCTTTGGGATTTGAAATCCCACAAGAGGAACAAGCCATGTTTAACATCTATGATGGGTCATAGACAGCTGGAAAACCCATTGGACTAAGCCTGGAGAAGCGTGGCCCCATAGTCCTTGTAGCAGATGCAGGGACTGATGCAGAGGTAAGGTGCGGAGCGAACAGCCAGTGGATGTCCTCTCTTGGTTGCATGATGGCCAAGAAACCAATTACCACTTATGAGAACAGCTCTGCACTAACTCAGTGTCCAAATACACTAAAATCTGTAAGAACTGGGAATCAAGAAAGACACAGGCATGAGGCAGGTGCATGCCAGTAATTAAATAGCAACAAGGAATGCATTTGTACCCAGAGCCTTAATATCAGGAGAAGGTCTATAACTTTCAAAACCATGAGATGCATTTGGCTGCCCAAGATAGGACCTTGGACCTCTGTTATTAGCCACTGCTCTGCAATAAATTTATTTGATGGCTACTCCTAAAGCACCTGGGCAGCTCCACTGCAGGCAATAGACCTGTGATTTCTGAGGATGCTTTATGAGCAAAAGCAACTTTTTTAACTTCTCTCATGTCTTTGTCCCATTCTGTTGAGTCATCCCCTAGATTGGCTACTCTGACACAATAGCTCCTGTAAAAACAGTGTCTTTATGCAATAACAAGGATTTTCAAGGAAAATCTTTGTTGGGTCTATTTGCAACATGCAACATCTTTAGAGAAGTGATACTGCTTGTGATTTTTTTTTAATTATTATTACAATTATGTGTGTGGTTTTTTGATAATATTCTCATCTTTCTGTATCCAGAGATGCACTTCACAAGAAATTCATTAATGGGACATCTTCCCGTCTGCCTGCTCCACTCTTGCCATGACATGGCATTTTTTTCTCACTAGAGAACCAGGCTGCCACTGCTTCCCCTGTCCATCCACCCCACCCACACACTTTGAAAAACCTGGGCAGTGCAGATTTCATTTAAAGTTTATAACCATTTTTGCCCACATGGCTCACATCAACACTTTCAGAGGGGTATTCTGCCTCTTTGGTGCTCCCATTAGCTCTGCCTCCTGCAAGGGTTAATGTTCACCTCCCTCTCCATCTAAAGAATAAGTTGTCTATCTCACCCCCACCGTGAGATTAAGCGCTTCACCCTTACCTTGCAAAGTGTTGGCATGCCAAGCCAGAAGCAGGGTCTGTGCATCCTGGGTTTCTAAGTGAAATTAAAAACAAAAATTAAAAAATTTTAAAAAACAACAAAACAAAACACGGAAAATCTCACTGCCCCAGTAAAGTCTCTTGCAAAGAGGTTTTGACTGTGGAAGCGAGGGCTAGGAACAAAGTTGTGGGGTGGAGGGGGAGGAGAGCATGATTGACAGCCCTGAGCTGAGACTCATCCCTTACCTTGGGCCATGCGGTCTGATTGGCTGCCTGCTGACATCCCCAAGCCCTGCACTTTTTAATAGACGCTTTTGGATGATCTACAGGGAAAAGGCTTGGAGAGGTGTGTTTCTGACAAGCCAGAAAGTCATCCGCACTACAAGGGACTTTGTTTAACTCTTTTTCTTTTTTTTTTTTTTTTTTTTTTTCTGGAAGGAGGGAGATTCTTCATTTTCTCACTTAATGTTTTTCTGAAAACTTCGCTGAGATTTTCCCCTTGCACCAGCCTGGACTAATGGATTACCACCTGCTTGGACTAATTTTATCTTTTCTCTTCAACGGCACAAAGGTCTTAGCCGGTTACCCAATTTGGTGGTAAGATTTATCTCGCCCCCCCCCCCCTTCCCTCTTTCTATTATTGATTAATGAATTAATTAATTATTAGTTATGGGATTTCTGTGTATGCATGTTCCTTCATTTTCACCCTTCGCCCTGCTGAGCTGGCCACGACTGCATGTTTGATTCTAAGCATAATTTCTTCAGATTTGACCAGTAATTAATGAAAAGTTTGGGGGTTATTATTAAAGGGCAATGTCTAGGTTTCCCTTTGCGCAAATGGAGTCTTCCCCACCACTCTTAATTTCTCCATTTTCGTCACTGTAGCAATAGGCATTTGTTTTAGATGTAAAAAGATGCATTTTTATTTTCTTGTGCAATAGGAATTTGGTCTGTTGCATGACTGTGTAGCAGGTATTTTCTTCCTTTCCATTAAATTATGATCAATTCTTTAAAAAAAAAAAAATTTTATTTTCTTTTTGGCTGCTGCAGTTTTTGGACTTCTTTCTCTTCTTTTGTTGTATTCTGTTATGTGAATTTAGTCCGGCAAATAAGCTGAGAACACAAATGGCACCTGAGAAAATATTCGTTAGTAAAATTCCTCAAAGATGGATTTTGTTCTTTTTAATTATGGAAAGGTCACTTATTTCCTTGCACCAACAATAAAAATATTTTTTAAAAGAATTGGTTATTTCTTATAATATGGCTGATAAGTAACCTGAGTTACTTATTTTAAAAATAAATATAACAGTATATAAATAAATATATTAACAAAATGTAATTGGAAGCACTTCAGAATAAAAAATACAGAATAAAACATTTCAGGTCATTTAAACACAGCAGACAGTGAGTTGCATAACAGAATATTTCAGTTAATTTCTCTCTTTATCCTGTAGGATTTCTCATTGGATTATATCTTGTTAAGTTTCTGTATGTGCCAGGTAGGGGCTGTAAACCTAATGATCTGTAGGGCAAAGAGGGAGATGTTGGAATTTGGTGCTACTGAGATTCTTGGGTTATTTTCGCCTTTCCAGAAAAGTCTTTTTTTTATTACTGAATTAAATCCTTTCAGTGCCAACATGGAGATGGCAAGAAGTAGGTGGGAGTGAACTTGGAAATGGACTGCCATGTCTGGGAATATTTAGAAATCAGAAAGGAAAAGACGAATTTTTTTTAATAATCTGCTTATTACCGTGGACTTGGAGAATGAAAATGTGCAGTTCCAGTAGAGAAAGATTGAGAATACAATGAGAAGTCCATGCTCAGGAAACGTTTAAAAGCTACGCAGGTTCATGAAATGGCTAAATCACAGCATGTTTTCCTGAAGAATTAAATTATTTCCTCGCCCTGAGCGTGGCTGCCTAACTTCAGGACCTAAGCCTGGGGCAGGGGAGCCTACTGAAATATAGGCAGCATCACTTTGATTCTTTATATCCCTTTTCTCCTTCATCTGGGGACCAGCGTGTCTGAACGGGGGTGCGCGGTGGGTTGTAGAACAGGTCAAAACTGCACGGCTGGATCTAAAGGCAAGAATCTGCATGGGGCAACGATACCTTGCCATGACATCAGCTCTCCCAGGGTCTCACCAGCTCCTGACCTTCCCCAGGCTTTGATATAAATCAGCATTTAACTCCTGAATCAAGGAGGATTTTGACTCTCAAAGCGAGGAACCAAAATGTTCTTGACGAAAAGGTCTGCTTTATCCCCGTGAAGCAAAAATGTCCCCATGAGCAAAATGTCTCTCCCCGTTTTCAGGAGAAGACACTGCAGACAGGTTTCTGCCCCATGTCCTTGCCTTCTCCAAAATCCCTACAAGTTCACCCGAAATGAACAATACAGAGGACATGTAAGACAGAAACACCAGGAGCATGGCAAGCAGCATCCATGGGAAAGGAGGGAGTCGAACAAGCTATCCGCAGTATGTCATTCAATAGATCTGTATCTTGCATATTTTTTTGTGATTCTGGCAATACCAAAGTGCCAGAGAGTCGCTGCTGCACTGAGAGGATGTGATGAGGTGCCCCACATAGGGTTGATGGGCTATCAAAAATGGCATAGGGTTTTAGAGGTTTCTTGAAGGCTGAGGGAGTAGAAGGGCAGAAATATCTGGGCCAGGGCTCCCCGACTGCTCAGGCAGAGACAATGCTTCCCACAGCACACAAAATTAAGTATCTCCTTCGGTCCCACTGAAGGCTTTGAATATCTGCTCTGTGAAGCTGAGATCTTTTGTACAGTGTGCTCTAGCATGAGGCGATATATACTCTTAAAAAAAAAAAGCATGCTTTTCCAGTTGTCTTCCTGATCCTCTGATCTTTAGGCAGGCACAGAGCAGAGTTTGGGGGATAAGTCCCACTTGCAGGGTTCAACATGCCACAAAACAGGGGGAGGGAAGCAAAGATGGGGCACAGCGTCAGCCCAGTCCCCTGCGCTGGGCTTCTGCACCCCTCCAGGCCAGGCTGGACAGGAGATCATCAGTGCTTCCTTATCCTCAGCTAAACCCATCTCTGCTAAATATGAGACTTTCAGGAAGACTGTTCATCTTGCAGGACCCCAAGACTGCTGACAGACAGTGCCCGGTCCTGCTGGTGCAACATTTCTGGGTATTTTTCTATTGTATAGGGAATATTTTGGCAGCAAAATCAAAACAGATCATTTCTGCTTTTGGGCATAAATGGGAAAAATGTTTATTCCTGTAGTGGGAAGGAAGTGTCTGAATGTGCACAAGGAAAAGAAGTGCAATAGGAATGGGGTCTCAGCACTTTGTAAATGGGTTTAGGGGTGGCTGGAATAATCTGGCTGCTCCACAGTGCAGTCAGACAATGCCAGCAAGCACGACATCGATGACGGTGCAGTGGAAAGGATAAAAGCAAAAAGATGAAGCTGCTGAGGGTTTGCACTGAGTTGTATTTTTATTGAGGGGCCAGGAAAGGATACTGGCCATATGGTTATATTATCTAGAGAGAGCATAACTCAACAGCAACCCTCCAGCTTGCACACCATCATGTTGGAGGGTGGGTCCGGCCCTTGGCCTCAGTGGTGAAATGTTATATGCAAGGCAGTGAGGCTCAAGCCATCAGCTCTTGGCACAGGGAGCAGTCTGGACAAACGGCATGCAAAGGGAAGGACTTTGCAGTGCAAATACAGATCTGCAGTGCCCAGGCTCCCTGGTAGCAGCGCAAAGGTAGAGCCACTGGGTTGCAAAGCCAAGAGGGGGATTTGCAGTCCAACCTGTTTGATTGCTAGCAACTCCCTGACATCGTCCTGGCCCTAACCACCTAGCATTTTCCCAGGCAATGCCTGAGCAAGGTCCAGGGGTAGCACAGACTGTAGATGTAACCTTCAGTGAGCAGGGGTGGTATTTTGCCATAGGGCCAACCCTTCTTCACGTGCTTCCATTCTATTACAGCAGTGCAAAGGAACAGATGGGGCACATACGGGAAAAGGTAATCTAAATGCTGCCTGCAACAGTGCCGACAAGAGGAGCTGCAGCCAACAAAAGCTTCCTCAGATATGTGTCCAACACTTATGCTCTCTGGGTTACTGCTGTTAAAAGAGAGGCAGAGAAGGAAGAGATGGAGAGATGTGGTGAGGCCATGGAGACCAGGACTGCTGCTCTTCCTGACCCTTCAGGGATGGCATGGATGGAAGCACAGTGGGCAGCAGGGCCATGGCTGGCTCCCCAGCCTTGCAGGCAGCAGTCATGGGTCATGCCAACAGCCTTTTTAGGTGCCAGCAGAAAGGATGGTGGTGACACCAATCACACCTGCAGTCATTTTTTTAATCCCAAATACCCTAATGACAGCACGGATAACAGAACATGTCTGAGTCATTGGGCTTGGGGGGGATCAAGGTATGAAAGAGTAGTCAATGCAGCATAAAGACAGAATGATGGATGGCCCCAGAATTTTCTGGTAATGTCCTGAGAGAATTTAGATTAAAATGTAGCCCATGGCCAGAGCTGTGTCAGTGCAGGCCAACAGACATATTGTGGCCCAGGAAACAACTAGAAACTGCTAATACATGTGCAGGAGCTGAAGAAGACAATCAGGGAGACAACTCCACCCATGAACTGAGAAGAAACACCAAAAGCTCTCCTCTTCCGTGAGCATCATTCACCAAGAAGTCTTGAAAATCTCTGGTGTGTCACTAGCCTCGAGAAAGGAGACAGATTTGGAGTCATCGGTGTAAACAGAGAGTAAAAAATTCAGCCCCACTCCTCTCATCATTCAAGACATAGTATTAATAGGTCAGTGCCCATAACTGTGACTCTCAGCAAGTGCATCTCCCCATCCAGCATTCGTTGGCCCCTAAGCAGATGACTTGGCAACTGGAAGAATGGCTTTGTCTGTCATACATTATTAAATTTTATTTCTATCCCTCAGAAATGTTTTCAGGGGAAGCTGGAGGCTTTGGCAGCTGCTGAGGATCCCAGTGGCCTTGGGCCCCTAGGAAGAGGCAGATAGAAACTTAAAAACAAGTTCTCACTGGTCCCACAGTAGCTTCCTCATTAGGAAAAACCTGTATGTGAAAACCATTTGCATGTAGATGTAGTCTGAGGTGACATGTAACTTGTCTTCTTTAGCTTTCAGTGTCTCACCTTGATGGATTTAATGGGAGACTTCATTCTCTTGGCAGTCTTGGTTTTTTCATTCTCTGAAGGCTGAAAACATTTATATCCTGTAGTCTGTGTTTTGTTATAGGCGTGTGACCCTTAAAGCTTTATTCAAAAAGAATAAAATTGCGGTGCAGCATCAGACTACTAGAGAAGATTTCCTGATGCAAATCCAGCTGCTGTAGCACTACAAAGGAAGAAAAAGACCCCACGTATAATTTTCCTACAGCTTAAAATGCAGCCAGTTCTGGGGGAAAATGACTAAGATAATGATGGAGTTTGTCAGTGACAGAGCTGACGGCACTTACCATGCAAGCCCAGAAGTGCTGCTCTGGCTCCTGGTCTGGCACACGAAGCCAAAGCACCTCCACCAGCAGCCTGCGCTGGCACGTGAAGCTCTGAACTGGAAGAGTTGGCGCATAAACCA